TGTGTGTGTGTGTGTGTGTGTGTGTGTGTGTGTGTGTGTGTAGAGCTTGTTTGAGGCCAGTAGGCCGGTTTCAGACGGTTAAAGTGTGAGAAACTCACCTGGAACAGCGTTGCTGAGGGGTCGTCCAGAACCGTTTTAGGAGGGGTGACGACTGAAATAAAGATAAGAAGGAAGCAATTACAAACTCTTTTTTGACATGGTTTCAAATTAAAAATAAAATCTACCTTCAAAGATCAATAAAAACTCAAATTAAATAATTATTTACTTTTGCCAAAAATAAAAATCTACCTTCAAAGATCAATAAAAACTCAAAATACATACATATATTTATTTTTGGTGGTTTTTCTGAAGCAAATTTTCTTGATTTCATGTAAATCAGAGTAACATCTGACACATCCAGAGCTTTACAGAGATCGTGATTAACATCCGTAAACAGGAATCTGGCCATCTTCTTAAAAACACGATGGTATTCAGACAATAATAGGGTGAATTATTAATAATAGGGCTTTCCTCCGCCAGCTCTGGGACTTTGCATTTACTTAATTAATTTAAACGTGAAGACCAATAGGAAATCCAGAAACAGGAAAATGCGTATCGGCCGGCAGGAGAAAATGCAGATCCAACCTCCAGATCCATTTTTTTAAGTCCGATCCCTCACGAGCATTAGCATTAGCATTAGCATCTCCTGACCCACAGGTCTGTGTCCTAACGATTAAGTTGTTATCAGAGTAAATCCCTGTTCAACATGAGTCTGACAACTAAGTAAGTAGATAAATAACTTTAAACTTTAACACATGCTCTGATAGGCCGGGATCGGGATTGGAGGTGAACAAAGCTGGATTGGGACGTCCCTAGTGCATATCACTGGATGATTTAGGATCCTAAACAGCTGAAATGTGTATAAAGGTGGATACTGATGGGTTTTTGACCAGTGGGACTCACACAGGTAGAACGGGAGGCTGGGGTCCTCCAGGTGAGTCTTCACAAACTGTCTCACAGCTCCAACTGGACAGAAAAGGGGACAGACAGCGTGAGCAAACCGAGCCTGTTTGGGGAGGAATTTCCCCCGGTGTGTTTTTGTTTTCTGCATCCATCCCCAGAATTACGGAGCCG